GGTGTGGATGTCATCTTCTGTGGTAAAAGGAGCCCTTTTCTGCTCTAAATATTCTAATATGGATTTGTCAAAGTCAAAACTGGCATCACTCTTTCTTTTCTTCTTTAATGGAGTCGATGTTGATACTGATGCATTGGCATTGTCATCTCTTCATCTTTGTTGTTTTTTTGTTTTTTTTTTGTTGCATCTGCTGTGGTGGTTGTTGTTGCTGCACATGGGACTGTTGCGATTGGTGGTAATCATCATCATTATAATCAAATCAAAAGCTTTCTTCTGTTATGTTGTCTACAATTCTGTTGAAAGTTTCCTCATAACTTATTTCAGTGTTGGCTAGTTCTACATTGAGGTTACTTGAAGTCCTATGATGGAAACAATTGTAAATAAAATGGATATATATTAATTCTCATATTTTGTCCATTTGCTGTAACATATCCAATTCTTGTTATATTTTCCTATTGAGACATGTGTGATGCAATTCTTGATGTTTATTTCTTGTTATTGTTAATGCCATTGTTAAGCATGCAATGATTTTGGCATATGTAATACATACTGTATTTTCTTTATTTCTGGAAATAAATTAATAAATAATTGCAATAGGCCTATTAAACTCAACAGGGTATATTTGTGGTTAAGTTCAAATGTATTTTACTCTTTACATGCAAAGCATTTTGAATGTACCAATTGGAAATGTACATTTAAAATTTGAATTGATTGATTAACTGGTTGATTGATAGATTGATATATTGATGGATGGATTGATTGGTTTCAAATTAGCTTGAACTTACTCCTTCTGTTGTAAGTACGGCGTGAGAAATGTCAAAATTCCTGCAAATCTATATTGTTTGATTACTTTGGCAGCATCGCCACTCCTTGAGGAAGCCTTCTTTCTGCAGCTGTTGAAAGTATCCCATACGATTGCCCATTTCTTTCGGGCTAAGTCTCCTGCAATCATTAATTATCAATTCAGATTATTTCACAACTACTTCAAATTACAAACAACTCTTCAAGTGGCAAAAGTGTACAGAAGGCAAACCTGCCTAACATAACCATCTATTCATATTTCGATTAATATATTATTAATATAATATGTATTTATTTATGTATTGACATTAAAATATTTAAAATGGTGGCCGGAGCATATTATTATTCAACATGGTACAGACAACAGCAGTATTACACTACAGTACTGATAGGTACTTTTAAAGTCAATTCAAGTTACTGTTCTGTATACTGTCTCTTATACACATCTAGATGTGTATAAGAGAGCGGTGTAGGATCGTTTCGGTCCCAGGTCGACTAGGCCTAGCCTCCCTAGGCTAGGCTAGACTAGTCACTGAAGCTACAGCCTAGGCTAGGCCTACTACTACTCTAATCGTTTTTATAGACAAGAATCACACTCACCACTCATTCCAACTCTGCGGCAAATTTCTTGCCAAACGTCTCTTTTTTGGTTAACACTTTTACAATCAGCATTTGATTTATCATACAAGATAGTGTCTGAACCTCCAAAATCAGGCGCTCAGTTTGATCGTCCATCGCGTCGCAAGTTCGGTCAACCAGTATGTGTGAAAGTTGACTACAGTACTTTCATTTTCCCTGACTACCCTCATCTGATTGGCTGATACGTTTATCGTTGCCGATAACTATAAATTTAAAAAAATCGCTTCAAAAGTGATTCGACCGATACGATAACTTTATCGCTCACGATAATTGTATCGTTATCGTTATAGTGTGACCACTTCCATTAATTTACACCACACCGATAATTTTTATCGTATCGGTATCGGTATCATTATCAGGGTGGGTGTGACCTGGCCTTTATAGTATTATGCGACTTCATTTAATCATATCGCTCTTATTTCTAAATGTATTTGATTAATTTAAACACCATTTTGAAGCTAAAATAATGTACAATCAGAAAATATATACATCTGATTTTTCATAAAGTTCAACTTTACTCTCATTTCGAGGTGGCAGGTCTCAATTTGTAAGGAATGTGAAGAGGCAGGAAAAAGGCAATTCACCACAGGCCAAGAGCCGTTTTACAAGCGAGACAAGATTAACAACAGGCCTAGAGACAAGATTAACAGCAGGCCTAGAGTCGTTTTACAGTGAAAAAGATAATTTATTTTGCAAAATAAAAAATAAACCTGGAAATCATTTCAAAAGTGGTCTTTGTTTTATTTGTCGTATTTTCAACTTTTTAGGCGTAAACCTATTTTTGTTTAAAAAAAAAAAAAACCTTTCACTAGCTACCTACCCATTTTTTCCCAAAACGTGACAAACACAATTTTTTTTTTTGCCTTATGGTGACTAATAACAGCTGATATTGAGCTAAAAAATATTGGTAACTCTAGGGCATTCTAAGTCATTACTACTCACAGCCTACTGTGCAAAGCATGCAGCATAACGCAACAAACAAAACAGATTTGAGAAATACCATGTGATACAGGGTTTACGCATGGGCAGTTTGGCAGATGATGAGTGCTTTTCTTAAATTCCAGTAAAAACAGTAATTAATTTCAAGAAAACTCATGTTTTTTAGCACACATTCTAAAGTTATAACACTGTGAGCAATATCATTATTTCTATAATAGTACTATTTGGAATTATTACAGTTTTACAAAAGGCTGCCAAAAAATGCGTTCTGTCCTTTTTTTCTGGAAGTTCCCCCACCCCCACCAATTTTTTTATCCTAGTGATGCTAAACTAGTAGAGAAACCTTGGTCCTCAATGGCCTGATTTTCACTATACTATATTTTATTATTTTTTTAAAGAAAAACATTATACATGTGCATCATAGTACCTAGACCTACAGTATGTGTTATACTTTGTTACAATTAACCTTCTATATATGTGGCAAAGAAATGCCAAACCAGTTACTCCTTGCAAAAATCGATTTTCTAGTTAATAACACTGGGTTAAGCAGTACAATGAAAGCTAAAAAAATTTAAAATAATCATTTAAATTTGACATTTCTTTATTAAGTCACAGGAGTTCAAACATACAGCTTTTAAAAAACAATATTTGAGAAATCAGCCCTCAAAGTTTACGATTTTGGGCATTTCTCATGCAGAAACCATCATCGAAAACCATCACCAAAATTGTAGTTTTAACATTGAAAATTGGGAAAATAACCACATAGTATGATGTATATAGAGGTTTAGTTTAATGCAATAAAATAGATTTTAAAAATTTTGACATTCCAGCATGTTTTGGCCATCGTCTCTGATTTGCGACAAGTGACTGGTTTGGCTCGTCTTTGCCACATATGTGAAGTTTGCCATCCCAAAGACCGGCATAAATGACCACAAAAATATTTTTTTTTCTTATTTTCCACATTGTAAGCTTTAAAATGATGGGGTATTTATTGACAAAGTTATGAGTAGACGTATTTGGTTTCTTTGTACTAAAGTACACAATAATAATAAAGTTCTTAACCTTACTAAATCGACAGAACAAGTGGTTGTCATTGACTATCAGAGTAGTTCACAAGCTTCAACTGTGCAAAACAAAAGGAGGACACTAGAGAAAAAAAAATAATATTAATAATAATGCAAATAAGGAGGAAAGAAAACTTACCATCTTAGACTTATTAAATGTTAGCTGACCTTATAATTCACTTTTATGTTTCTTGTTTTTGTTTTCTATTTTAGTATTTAGCTAACCGTCTAATTACTTATCTTCTCTTTCACTTTCATTCTGTGCTTCCTTAACTTTTCATGATTCCTATCTCATGCAGAAACCATCATCGAAACCATCACCAAAATTGTAGTTTTAACATTGAAAATTAGGAAAATAACCACATAGTATGATGTATATAGAGGTTTAGTTTAATGCAATAAAATAGATTTTAAAAATTTTGACATTCCAGCATGTTTTGGCCATTGTCTCTGATTTGCAACAAGTGACTGGTTTGGCTCGTCTTTGCCACATATGTTAAGTTTGCCATCCCAAAGACCTGCATCAATGACCACAAAAAAAATTTTTTTCTTATTTTCCACATTGTAAGCTTTAAAATGATGGGTTATTTATTGACAAAGTTATGAGTAGACGTATTTGGTTTCTTTGTACTAAAGTACACAATAATAATAAAGTTCTTAACCTTACTAAATCGACAGAACAAGTGGTTGTCATTGACTATCAGAGTAGTTGACAAGCTTCAACTGTGCAAAACAAAAGGAGGACACTAGAGAAAAAAAAATAATATTAATAATAATGCAAATAAGGAGGAAAGAAAATTTACCGTCTTAAACTTATTAAATGTTAGCTGACCTTATAAATCACTTTTATGTTTCTTGTTTTTGTTTTCTATTTTAGTATTTAGCTAACCGTCTAATTACTTATCTTCTCTTTCACTTTCATTCTGTGCTTCCTTAACTTTTCATGATTCCTATTTACCTACCTTTTCTTTCTTTTGTCTTCCTTTTTCCTTATAATTTCCTTTTCTTTCCTTATACCTCCTTTATTTCTTTAGCTTTAAATTACCTTTGTAATTTTTCCTTATCTTTATCTCTTTCTTTGTTTCTTATGTATCCTTGATTCTTCTTGTATTTACTTTATTTCTTTCTTTCCTTTTCATTTCTTATGCTTTTTTATATATATATCTCATTTTATCTTATCTTATTGTTTCTTTCGTATCCTGATTCTTTCTTTCTTGTCTTTTTCTTTCTTTTATTATTTCTTAGGTTGCCTTGAATAACCTTTCTTTTTCTTTCTAATAATTAGTTCTTTTCATTCCTTTTTCTTTCTTAAATTTTTTTTTCTTTTATTTCATTTTCTTTCTTTTGGTTTCAATTATTTCTTTTCTTTTCTTTCATTCTTCCTTTCTATTTTTTCTTACACCTTTCGTAGGTGTTCTTGAATATCCTTCCTTTTCTTTCTTATGTTTCGTTCTTTTCTTTCCTTTTTCTTTTTTATATTTACTGTTCTTATCTTTTCTTTCTTTATCTTTCCTTTCATATAATTCATTCCTTTCTTATAGTATATACTCAGTTTAGCAATTAACGACACTACGCTGGTTTTGGAATGGCAAGCCTCATAATCTTCAGCCTCAGAATATGTTTCGGAGATTAACCCCAGAGGCCACTGTAGAGGTGTGCCACTGTCTGCAAAGAGCACTTGGTCATCCCTTTTTAGATTTCTCTTTGGAATAAGCAACTTCAGTATCTTCTGTTGTATAGGCAAGTATTCGCTCAGCCAGCATTCCCAAAATATGTTGGCTAAATATTGGATCTGGCACCAGTGTCTCCAGAACTGATCTTGTTTTAACGAACAACCCCAGAGTTAACAGTGCGATTAAGTAGCAACAAATGAGTGGGTGTAAATTAAATAAGAGGAGCATCATTGCTATCATTAGATAGTTTAGTCAGTGGCCAACTACTAAATATGTTTTCAACAAAGCACATAAGTGGTGTTAATGCTTTTTCATGGAATGTTTGTTGGAAAATTGGCCTCTTTCACACACCATCCATATGTAGTAAAATCGTTTTTACTACTACAATTTTATCGTTTTCCCATGACTATGACGTCATTTGATTTGATTTGCAAAGTTATTTTTTTATCATATACACGATAAATCGTTATAAAATTGTGCCAATTGTTCTTTGCGGTTTTCCCACAGACTTTCCATTAATGACCATAATTCATCTGCTGCATATATCTAATGATGACGTACTCTGCTTCTCTCAACTCAATTAACAGTTAGAGGTCCCTTCATAATCGCTGATGATTTCATTCTTACTTGCTCTTTGACATAGATAATCTTTCACTCTTAGTACAGTATGTATGCTGTTGTTTTCTTTAATCCATACCATGATGAATACCTTTTAAACAAATTACCAAATCTGAGATGCTTCATTTATATCATGACTTTGCAATGTCATTGCTGCTGCCCTTTTCCCCTCTGGTGTCATCTTCACTGATGTCAATAGTAGGGTTTTTCTCCTTTAATTACCAAACTTCCTGATCCCATAGAAAGTAAGGTCCACATACCCAACAACGGTGAACAGTGTGATCAAGGGTGGATCCACAATGTTTCAAACGAGGGGGGGGGGGGTGCGCAACAGTTTCAGAATAATTGAATAAGCGAATAGCACATATATTATATTGAAATTTAAAAAAAATTAGTGGCAAAACGGGGCAGGAGCCCTTCCGAGTGACGTCTCTATCCCATACTAAATCTTGCCCTGTTGATTTGGGCTACCCTCTTGTAAGTGAAAGTACAGAAATATACAGTAGGCCTTGCCTAGTTGGGCATGAGAGTAGTATTTGTCTTGAATCTTGAAGGCTTATCCGAACTACTGACATTCAAAAGAACCCGTAAACATTGTCCTGACGTGTTTACATAAATTCAAGGTATAGATTGGTGGAGCTGGCTTGACCCTATCTATCTTAATGCACTATCCTAATCGACCTAGGTTCGAGAGATAGAGGATAGGCCCTAGGTATGCTAACTACACCTGAGTCTAGGTCCCTAGGACTAGGCCTATCTGTGATCGACATCATAGGCTACGGTAGGCTGCGCCTAGGTTACAGCCTGGGCCAGAGCCTAGGCCAAGGGCTGTGCCTAGGCGTGTGCCTATAGGCCTAACCGGTATGGTTAGGCCTAGGTTATATCATGGCTTGTGGCCAGGTGTATCTTTATTTTTACCTGATCGTCTTCTAAAACATGCCATTTATTACCGATGTTTTGTGCCATAAAACTACAATATATCCAGTATAATGCAATAGGTACTCCGAAGAGGTACAGGAACATGCTTGTCACCCATTTTGTTGACGAAAGTGAGAAGTAATGGGTGGTGAATGAAGCTGCGAAACAAAGACTGGTTCTTTTACGGCCTGACTCGATAATTTTTAGACCTAAGCACTGCAGTACAGAATAGATGTGATTAATTGTATTTATGTGACGTAAGCAACTTGCGAAACAGGTACTGATTTTTGGTGGTTTTTGGCTGTTTTTTCTTCGTTATCCAATATCCAACCTTAAAAAGTAGTGGAATGTGGTCGTGACATATTGAAGCCCCAGTGTATGAGATATGAGCATATTCCTGCCAGCGGTTTTAGAGGAGATAGGGAAAGTCACGCAGTGGCGATTAGCAGATTTAATATATAGATTCTAGGGTGTTATTATGCAAACCTAATTTGAATATACAAATATTACTAGTGTGTCTTTGTGTGTATTCATACCTTTCAGTTGTTGGATCTGCTGAATTGAGGGGGAATTTTAATTCTATGACATGTCCATTACGTTCTCTGAGTTGATTGTGTCCTTCTGTGTAATGCTGAACCAATTCAGCTAAGGTAGCGAACTTTTCTCCACCGTAGAGATCATAGTAATCACCAGTGCTTTGAATCTTGATGTGAGTCACTTCATCATTCCGCCTTTATAACAAAAAATGCAAAAATTTCATACATTGAATTAAATTGTAAAATATTTTATTTTCACTTTGTCATAATTATATCACTATACATGTTTGTGGGAGCAGTTGGTGCAGGGGTTGTGTTTCGGTCACTCAACCTGATGGCCAGGGGTCAAACCTTTGCAGTGAATTTCACTTGGGTTCTTGGACAAGGCACTTTATGTGCATTTGTCTTTCTCAACCCAGGAGGTACCCGTGGTTCACAACTGGGGCGGAAAAATGTGACTACCTTTTTTTTTACATGTCTGAAGCACAACAATTGTCAAAAAGACAACTTGATAAATCTAGTATAATTTTTTTTTTTTTTTTTTTTAAATGAAACTCAAGGTGCAATGAGAAGGAGCAGTAGCTCTGTGGATGCCCAACTTGTAATTGAGAGATTAAAATATACAATTGCAAGCTTAGCTTAGTGCAGATGACCCAGGCCGAATTACAAGGGCTATCGGCCACAAAAACCTGCATTCTTGACTTATTTTTAATGTTTTCTAGTATGTCAATGATCATCTAATCACACATGTACCTAGAAAGTAATTCTCACATTGTGAATGGCTAACATTAGTCTTCATTTGATTAAATAATGAAAGTTTCTTTCACAAACTTATTTTTTAGGGCCAGTTGGTAATCTATTTTTTTCTATTTAGTTTAGTGTAGTTGTGTGTGAACGCAAATGGTGTGCATTTATGCGGGCGTGCATTAATTTGTTCAAATTGGTAGTTATCGGTGTTTGTTTTTGGTAAAACGTATCGCATTCTTCCTCAATCATTGTTTCAGGTGGTAATCTTCTTTTTAAAAAATAAGCTCACCCTCCCACTCTTCCCATAGTTAGTTATAATATGTCAAGTAGGCAGTTTTTTTTTGGTCGCCAACCTTGCATTATAACACCCCTGTTCCAATTTTGGGGTTATTATGCATGGTGTTACATCTTTTAATAGCACTGCCCATCAGGCCACTCTTGTGTGCCCATCACCAAACAACTTCTTTTATCATTACTTTGGAACGTTTTACGATATGGACACAAAAATTAAGCTTTCCTTGAAACATACAGTATTCACTATTTAAGTATATGTGCAGATTTTGTAGAAACTTTTTGCAATAATAAAAACCCCCCTGTTGACAAATATCCACTACAAACTACAGTATGTGCCATGTCAGATGTCCCATAGTACCCTGAAGAGTTAAAAGTGCTAGCATACCTAACGGACAATGTAAAATCACCAGGATTGCTTTTGCTTGGTCGACATAAGAAGCTGCCATTAAAGCCACGTTGCATCAGTAAATGCTCTCCCTCCAATCCAGAGATGTTAGGATGAAACCATCTATTAACAAAACAAATTTTATTTTATTACAATGAGGTTAATAACATGAAAAACTAGAAAACAGCATAATATTTTAAAACAGACATTTACTTGTATTAACCTAAACCTTGCAATCTTTGATCTTTGAAGCAAATCAGCAATGTGCTTTGCTTGGTTTCATCATAATAAAATCACATTGTTTGGATGTCAGATTTTACGCCATGTTTATGTAAACTGCTATTTTTAATACAATAGGGAAAGGATCCTGGTTCACCAGATACTGTGGTGTTGCATTGTGTGTTCTATTGGTTGTTCCCTGTATGTTGACGATCATACTGTAATTTGTTGTGTTGCAATGGGCTCTTTGAAGTGTTTCCCCATTTGTTTATCTTGATGATAATCCATTACCAGAAACAGGGTCAAGGCTGGTTGCCCCCCAGACTTCCCCCCCCCCCTAGGACAATTTCCCTAGGACAATTTCCCCCAGGACAATTGCCCCCCCATGCATTACATTTTCTCTCAATTACACTGTACATGTTCCCAATACATTTTATTTTTGTTATTTTTCATAATTTTTGTAGGTAGATAGTTATTCATATGATATTTAGTTCACTCAATAAGACTGAAGGCCAATTTGAAATAGTATTTTAACTATGCATTAACAAATTAAATAACTTCAATACAAGAAATATGTGAAGGTCTACATCATCTCTTTTATTATCCTTTATTTATTCAGTTTGACAAAGTATCAAGATTTATAAAATGTGAAATTATAATTTATAAAATGATCCAATTTTTATATTGAAGTACTTTTATTTTATACAGTAGTTATGCTTATTTAATAATGTAACAATATAGATTAAACAAGGTTATTACTTTTGTCTACATTACATAATCTAAATCATCTAGCCTTTATTCAGTTCCACAAAGTAACAAGATCTACATAATACTGGTAGTATGAAATGAAAAAAATATATATAAAAATATATTAATACTGTAATACTGTAGTATTTTTCCTTACTTACCAATTTAAAATGCAACAATTTTTACATAATTATATTTTCTAATACTGAAGTACTGTACTTTGGCCTATCTATTGTAACAATATTTTATAATAATTTTAACAATACAAAATAAACCAAAATAAACAAAGTTATCACTTTTGCTTTTACATGAACAACTACACAAATAAACAGGAATTACACACTGATTACAGAACAGGGATTTCATACACTATATTATGCTTACTTCATTTGTATTTACTACTTTTAGTTAGATGATTTATAATTACCGATTCACTAGTTATAAGGAAATGTCGTGTGCAATGCCTCTAAGATAATCCATTCTATCCCTGTTGAAAATGTCAGTCTTCAGTCTCACTGAATGAACTAAATATCATATGAATAACTATACCTCTACTTAAAATTATGAAAAATAAAACATTAAAATGTATTGGGAACATGTACAGTATAATTGCTGTCTCTTATACGCATCTAGATGTGTATAAGAGACAGGTACAGAGGGGGAAAATGTCCAGGGGGCAACCAGCCTGCTCCCCCAGAGACGCTCCAATTAAACCATGCATTTTCATATTACCGACCATCACTGGCGTTCCCTGTTTACACTATAATATAGGATAAACAGACAGCGCCAGTGGCCCACCGAACATTTTTGCATTCGAGGACCACTTAGGACATGTTAAGTCTTCATGGACCCAAAAATTTAAGTTTACTCATCGTCATTATTCCACCAATAGGAAAATACACTAAAATGCTAAATGATATGGACGCTCCCTAACTGGCAGGTTGGGGAAGCGTTTCCCTACAGTTTATGTCATTTTTCATTATCCTTTTTGATGTATGGTTCTGGTATTGTGGTCGTTGGTGTTTTTCTATCATGATGGATGTTTTTTTTTTACTTTTTTCGTGAAGTTATAGTGATTATGAATTATATCACTGAGTAGCATTGAAAGCTAGGTCTCGGCAATTGCTTTCCTGAATATGTTGGCTTAACGCCTTGTGGAGTGCACTGTGTAGCTTAGCCACTAATCGCATTCCAGACGTGCTCAATTGCATAATGTGTTTCAATACGAAGAACATCTCTGACATTTACTATATAAGAGTTACACTGGCAAGTTACCTGAAGAAGTTCCTGACACGCCTATGAAAATAGGAATTCCCGCTATCTATCTTAAAGGCTATCATGGAGGAAGATTTAAACAGAGAGTAATACCAAATAAGATAGATGAACTGTGTCACAGGATATTTCAGTCCCCTTACTACTGTATATTATTGCAATCACTGAAACACACCTTAAACCATCAATTTCAAACAGTAGTTTCAGAAGGGTTACCCCACTGCAGATAGATGTGGTGATAGAAAAGGTAGAGGAATAACATTACATGTGAAAGACTCCATACCACAAAGTATGGTCGGAAGTTAATGATGAAGCGATTGAGAATGTATGGATCACTATACGAGCAAAACGATTACCTCGCAAAATCTCAAATATTACAATAGGGTTGATCTACCACCCACCTAGTTCCAACGATTTTGATATATGTAATCACATTATCCAAAGCCTTGAATTGAACTGAAGTGAAATTTATTAGGTACTCCAACATGCAAAACATTACAGTTTGTACAAAGCAAATGTAAAACTATTTTCATTCCTAAAAAGTCCTTTTTTTGCTCCAAGCATCCAGAAACAGGCATTGTCACATACATGCCAACACTCCTTGTTTTTTCAAATGCTCTCCCGCACAGAGAAAATTGAAAAGCTTACTTATTATTGTCTTTTCTTGCAATAAAATACTACAAAAAAACCTCAATATTTAGGGTATCTTTCAATATTTTGCTCGGCGAGAGCATCACCTCTCCTGAGTGGTGCAGTCTGTCTAAAATCATTTTGAAATGAAAGTCAAATTCAAATAACAAAGTCCTTGCCGATACTGTAAATCATCTTTTTATATCACTTGCCTCTGAATTTACTACTATTCAAGTCACTGAGTTTGCACCAACCTAATGTACCGCCTAATCACCTCATCATTACCAGAAGTTGTGTTGTTGAAACTTAAACAAGTCAAATGTAATAATAATACACTCTATCCCAATGGATCAGTTGAAAGTGCAACATGTTCCATGTCCTGATGGGTTACCTCCATGGATATTTAACCAATAAACCAATGTGTGCTATTGTTAACTCTTGTGTCAGCAGTGGGAGGGTATACCTCAAGAGTGGAAACGGGCCCATATTGTCCCTTCACCTAAAGTTCCCAACCCCCTCCCCCCACCCAATCTGTAGAGAGCGACCTTCGCCCATTTTTATTAACCCCCATTTTAGGCAGCCTTGTAGGGGAACTAATCTGGTCCCAAGTTAAAAATAAAATAAACCTTAATCAATTTGGATGCCCTAAACAAAGAGTTAAAGAAAAGCCAATTAAATAGAGGAAACTTTATCAGGGATGCCTTCAACAGAAAGCTCAATTAACTGCCACTTTGAAGTTCACTGCACTGATTTTAACCTAATTTACAGTATATTAATTAACTGCATTATATTGTTCTCCTCTATGATAATGACAATGTTGTTGTTGGTTCGCTCCAAAATATAATCGTTTAAAAGCAGTATCCAACTAATGACAACGTCAAGTCAATGTCTGCCAAATGTCTTGGAAAAGACGGCTATTTTTACCAGTAGCTAAACTAACTATTTTTCTGAGTGGTTGTCCGCAAATGGTGAGATCCCACTGGGTTCATGGATCAGACCAGTTATGTTTATCATTTTTATTAATGATTTATTAACTAATCAATCATGTGTAAAATTTATGGATGACACCACAGTATTTGAAAAGGTGCCAAAGGGAAATCCTAGTACTTTACAAAATGTTGCCAATTCAGCTTTGACTTGGACTTAGTTCAATGTCTCTATATGTTAACAAAACTTGTAATTATTTGTAAGAAATATATAGCCAGTTTTCATCTGCTTATCATTGGCAATAATTTAATTAATCATGTACGTAGTACTAAGCTATTAGAGGTGTTTATTAGTGAGAACTTATCATTTTTTGTATCAAAATTAAATGCACAATTGTACTTTCTGATGTCTTGTTTTTGGTTTTTTATTGTAACATTTGAGTTACTACTGTTTTACTCATTTTCTTATAAATATGTATAATTCAACTACAGTTTTTAATTGATAGTTACAATAAAAGGAATGATTGATTGATTGACTGATTGATTAATTAATTCATTGATTGATAGAATAGAAGTTGCCACAAAATTACAACAGTAAAGATTTTTTTAATTTTTAAGGCTCCTAATAGTTTGCAATATGTTTATCACGAGAAGAAGAAAATAATAATGGAATCATGAAAAATTGTTCTAAAATTCTAGCAACCGTAAACTCCCTCTGGACCCCTTTTCACTCGGCAGACCCCCAAACATTTTCAAGGACCCCAGGTTGGGAACCACTGGTCTATCGTACACATCAGCGTATTTTGCAATTTATTAACTGTAGTTTTTTTTTTAAATTATTTATTCAACAATATTTTTAAAGGGTGGTTCTATTACAGCAAAGCTGACTTTTTCCTTATACGCTTCCTCATTTACACTGCTTGTAAGCCAACAGGTCTTATGACCTAACAATTGACTTTTTCAAGTGATGCCACTTCCTGATTCCTGTCTAGTTAATAAATGACATTATAACACAATACAATATATGCTGTACTATTATACACCCCTTGTGTTTTTACAACTTTTAATTTATAGCAATCAGAAAGACCTTTCGACATCATATTATATCAATCAAATCACATTAAAACTAACTTTACATTGTCCAAAAAAATTGAAAATTCATCTTGTTGGTGATGAGCGTTGCTTTCATGCATTCATTTTTAAAATTAACCAATGGGATACAGTACGGGTTACCTCTCGGATTTGGCTAAAAGCAATGTATAAAAAGTCTTGCCTTACACTGTAGCATGCTTAGTCTTACTACTAGTCTGCAGAACCAAAAATAAAAAC